TAAGCTAGTTCCAGGACAGCTAGGGCTACACAGAGAAACCCTGTTTGAAGAACAAAATAAACAAACAAAAAAGAATGGTTTGGGCAGTGGTGGTGGCAGGTGCCTTTAATCCCAGTACTCCATTAGGACTGGGAGGCAGAGGCAGGTGGATCTCTGTGAGTTTGAGGCCAGCCTGGTCTACAGAGCGAGTTCAGACGGTTCCTCACTGAGACTCTTTCCTGAGGGTGATTCTAGACTGTGTCCAGGTGACAGTTAAAACTAAACATCGCAGCAGTACTGTCCACGGCTGCAAGAGGTCCTGCTATTTAGAGAGGAGCATTACGAGCCGCAGTGCCTGCAGTCTTGAGCCAATATCCACCCACCCCTTTGATCTCCTTTTCTTTCTCTTGTGAGCATCAGAACCAAGCATTTGTTACCAAAGCCTGGGACTGCGCAGCCCTGCACCTCTAACTGTTTTACCACCAGCAGATGGGGCAGCAGGAAAGCGGGAGAGGCCTGCAGTCACCTCAGTCCTCTGGCTTGGATGGAAGGCTTGACGTCTGCTCATTCCCTCCCACACAGCCTGCCGCTGTTCCACTATCACAACGTGGATAGTGGATAGGAACGTCTGATAGATGGTGGGGGCATTAGTAAATCCCTACATGTCAGTTGCAACTACTATTGCCTGTGTATCCATGGACTCCAGCATCAAGATCTGGAAGTTGGGTCTGGCCTGGTGTTTCAGGTCTGTATATAGGCAGTGGTGGGAGGCAGGAGGCAAGTTCAAGGCTTGCTTGGGCTACAGATCAAATTAAAAAACAACTCAAAAAGCCACAGTGGGTGTCCTACAGGGGGACAACCTGATAAAACCCCAACGATGTTTCTTTATGGTTTTTCGAGACAGGGATTCTCCGTAGCTTTGGCGGCTGTCCTAGAACTTGCTCAGTAGACCAGGCTAGCCTAAGCGAGTGTTCTCCCAAGGTCAGTGTACTGAAGCTGACAACACCGTGGTCCAAGGTCGTAGGGCCAGAGTCGGGAGCAGAAGTTGGCAGTGCCGTCCATGTCAAACTGTTTTGGAAGACATGAAGATTCAAGATTGAGGAGAATGACATGGATAGTGGCTAAGACCAGAAAACATGTGGTAGGCTCAGAATCCCTGCAGAGGCCCTGAGAGGCCCCAGTGTGTAAAGAAATGAAGGCGAAGCCCACACTGTAGTAGGAACCCCAGGATACTGCAGATACTGCAGGACCATGGGACATCTGCTAATGGTGTTGTGGGTGCTGAGTGAGTCCTGCTTAAGAGAGACACTGTGTGTTTCCAGCAACAGAACTGGGAGTCGGCACCGCTTAAAGCCCAGTTGAATACATCATGAGACCCAGATGAAGAAATGGAGTTATTTACTTACCCTGCTGAATTTTGGTCTTGCTTTTGCTCCTGTCGTTCCTTGTTCTGCCCCAATTCTTATTTTTTACAACAGGAATATTTACCCCGTACCATTCTATGTCGGAAGGACGGAATTTGCTTTTTATTTTGTACGTATTCGCAGTTAAGAAATGTTGGACTTTTGATGCATTTGGAGTTACAAAGATATTTAAAGTTGAACCAGATGCATTTTACACTACAACACGGTCATGAGCCTATGGGGACAAGGAGGGAAGTCATGGCTTAAAGTGATGTATTTGGGCTGGCAAGATGGCTCAGTGTGCAAAGGCACTTACTAGCAACCATGTTTTCCAACTTAAGTTTGATCCTTGGGTCCCAGATGGTAGACGGGAGCGAACCTACTCCCTAAAGTTGTTCTCTGACAAATATATACGCCATGAAACCCGTGCTCGCATGCATGCACACATCCACACAAATACACAACCAATGATTAAAGGAAAGACAAGAAAAAGAAGAAAAAAACAGCCACAGTGGATAATATAATCCATGTGGTGGCTCACAACCATTTGTAATTCCAGTTCCAGGGAACCCAACACAGGCCTCAGAAGTTACCAGGAATGAACAGATATACATGCACATAGCAAGAGAGAGAGAGAGAGAGAGAGAGAGAGAGAGTGTATGTATCTGACACACACACAGAGAGAATGTGTGTGTAGGGGTATACACGCTGAAGTTGGCATCTAAATTGGGACCCACCCTTGAATATAAAATAATATTTAAATTTTGTAAGGTATGCGGGAGGGGCTGGAGAGATGGCTCAGTGATTAAGAGTGAATACTGCTCTACAGAGGACCTGAGTTTAGTCCCCAGCACCCATGTCAGCTGCCTCACGATTGCCTGTGACTCCGGCTTTGGGGGATGCCCTTTCCAGGCCTCCTCAGGCAACTGCGGTCACAGACACGTTCCCCGAAACACACACACACACACACACTTTTAAAATGTAGAGTAAATCTTTAAAAAGCTCTAAGGGAAAGCTGGGCACCTGTAACCCCCAGCACTTGGAGATAGAGGAGGTAGGATCGTGAGTTCAAGACCCGACAGCGCTATGTAAGACCCTGTCAAAAAGAAAAAGGGAAAGAACGCTGTGGATGTAGCTTAGTACTGTCACACCTGTCTAGCACGTGCGAGGCCTTAGGTTCAATGCCAATACCGGAAAAAAAAAAAAAAAAAAAAAAAAAAAAAAGGTTAACAGATCCATTACAGGACCAGTAAGATGGCTCAGCAGGTAAAGGATCTTGCCACCGACCTCCGTAGTATGAGTTCTGTCCCTTATATCCTATGCTGATGATTTTGTGTCAATTCAATGGCACAAGCCAGCGTCATCTGAAAGGAAGGAACTTCAGCTGACACACTACAAATCTACAAAGCCCAGACTCTACAAACAAACAAACAAACAAACAAACGGACAAACGGACACAACAGAACAAATACGGCTCATATTATGAACTTCTTAAGTGACCTCCGTGAGCTGGAAATCACCCCAGATGCCTCTGAAAGGGGTTTTGGTCCGTCCCCAGAAAACAGATGGGTTTGAATGCCTGCCCTGACATCAATCCATTAAGACTGCCCGTGTTCCAGAAGTAATGAAAGAATAATCACCGCTCTTGACTTTCACTGTCTTGTTCCCTGGAGAAAGCTCCTGGAGGAGCTCGTATAAAGAGGCTCTCTGTTGGTTAACAGTCTCGAATTTGTGTGTAGATTAACAATTAGTCTCAATTCAGTATCTGGGGGAGTACTTCTCTGATTGGCTGTGGCTGCACTTCAGGAATTGGCTTGGGAGAAGGAAAAAATGTTCCCCTGGGAAGGACTGTTCTGGAACCCAAGTCGTCTTGAATCATCCAAAATCCCCTTTGGCAAAATTTAAAAGGAGGCACAATCGGATCCCACGGAGAGATTCTGAGCTAACTTTCCCCCTTTGCTCTGAAGATGATTAAGCCTGGGATTTCAAATATCCCTTTATCTTATCTCATTATCCATTTGGTAGGTTAGAAGTAGACTGGGCATGGGTGACCCAGGCTTTGGGAGATGACAGCAAGGGCATCAGGAATTCAAGGTTACAAGAAACTGCCCCATCCCCATCCCCCACCCCACCCCCCCAAAAAAACAAGCAAGGGCCAGGGAGTTGGCTCAATGGTTACAGGCACTTCCCAATCAAACCCCATACCCTGAGTTCAAAAAGAATGAGTCCTGTGTTGTTCTCTGACCTCCACAGGCATGCCATGGCATATACGTAATGTCCACCACCACCAAGCCCCCCACAAAAAAACCCAAGTAAATGTAAACAAAACAACCAAAATTAGCATTCAAAAGAACGGTTTTTAAAAATAGAGAATACCGTCCTTTTGAATTTAAATATTCCTGCCTGCCAATCACCCACCAATTGCTGGCTTTGAACCTATTACTATTATGATCTGTTTATCTTACGAAATATGAAATACGCACATGCATGCGCCTTAAATACATTCAAATGTGCCGATGGGTTCAGGGGGCGGCAATGTCTAGCTTCTCACTGGTTCTCTGTGAGGGGAAAGTTACCTCAAAGAAATTCTCTAATTCTTGTCCCGTTTGCGCTCTCTCTCTCTCTCTCTCTCTCTCTCTCTCTGTCTGTCTCTGTCTCTGTCTCTCTCTCCTCAGCTCTAGAGTCCCCTGGAAGCAACACATCTATCTGCCTTCAAGATTCACTTAATTTGGCGGGGAATGAAATTTTGATGGCTCAGGCCCAAACTTCTGGGATACGTGAGAGACCAAATAGGATGGATATCCTGGGAGACCATACTGCCCACGGTGGAAGTCTGTGGTGTTCGGAGAGGATGGTGGCCTTTACGAGACAAAGAGATGCACATCTACCTAGACGCCAACCTCAGCTGTACACCCCTACACACACATTCTGTGTGTGTGTGTGTGTGTGTGTGTGTGTGTGTCTGTCTGTCTGTCTCTCTGTCTCTCTCTCTATGTCTCTCTGGCTCTGTGTCTCTGTGTCTCTGTGTGTGTCTCTCTCTGTCTCTGTCTCTCTGTCTCTGTGTGTGTCTCTCTCTGTCTCTGTCTCTCTGTCTCTGTGTGTGTGTCTCTCTCTGTCTCTGTCTTGCTGACTCTCTGTGTGTGTCTCTCTCTCTGTCTCTGTCTCTCTGTCTCTGTGTGTGTCTCTCTCTGTCTCTGTCTCTCTGTCTCTGTGTGTGTGTCTCTGTCTCTGTCTCTCTGTCTCTGTGTCTCTGTGTCTCTGTGTCTCTGTCTCTCTGTCTCTGTGTTTGTGTCTCTGTCTCTCTGTGTGTGTGTCTCTGTGTGTGTGTGTCTCTCTGTGTGTGTGAGAGAGAGAGTGTATGTGTGTCTCTCTGTCTCTGTCTCTCTGTGTCTCTGTGTGTCTCTCTCTCTGTGTCTCTCTCTGTCTCTCTGTCTCTGTCTCTGTGTGTGTGTGAGTGTGTGTGTCTCTGTCTCTGTCTCTGTCTCTGTCTCTCTCTCTCTCACACACACACACACAGACAGACACACACACTGTGTCACACACACAGCCTCACCATGTAGCCCAAAGTTCAAACTCACAGCGATTGTACTCCAATGTCATTCCTTAGCGCTGTGATAGACTAGACCCCCCCCCAAAAAAAAGAGATTTTGTGAGTGTGCCTCATTGGTTGGTGGGGTGCTCACCCATTATGTGCAGGCCCTGGGCGGGCTCTCCATCACAGGCAACAAACAAAAAGTAATAACAGACCAACAACAACAGTAACAAACAGCCAGACATCATGTTAGTTAACTCACACCTGTGATGTCTGCGTTCCAGCACCGGAGGGTTCGAGACCAGCCTGGGGGCTGCTTAGTCAGAATGCCCAAACCAAAAGCCCAAACCAAGCCAACAGAACGACAGAGTTCACATGCTGTACGACTCACACTTCAGCTGCATTCAGTGCGCGCTCGGGTCGTGAGTCACCAGCACAGTAATTTTAGAATGCTCTCATCACCCCACAAGGAAACCCGGGGTCCCGGGTGAGCATCGACTGCTCACTTCCGCCTTTGCCCAGCGCCTGGCAACCATGGCTCTGCATCCTGCCCGGGGAGATCAGCAGGGTTTTTACAGACAGAAATCTGGGTGCTGGTTTCACAACGTGGGGTGCTGGGGTTTCTTTCTCTTCCCTCATCTATCTGGATGGTTCTGACTCAGCTGCACGACAGGTGGACACCGGGTGTGCAGGGGGCGCTGAGTTCATCCCACCCTGGAAAGAAAGAAAGGCTTGAAAAAGATCAATTGTAAAAACAAGAGAACGAAGGGGATGGGGGGGATGGATATGTAAATATGAGTACTAATTAAAGAATTAAAAAACAAAACAAAACAAGAGAACAGAAGAAACTAAGCAACTGAGGTCTGGAATTTTGAAAGAATACCAATGCTTAATTCACTTGACCTGGGGTGGGACTTGATATTGGAAACTCTAACTAAAAAAAAAAAAAAAAATTAGCATTAAAAAAATGTGCATTTATATGTTTATTTTGTCTGTGTGTCGGTGTTCTCAGCAGTCAGGTCTCGACTTCCACCCTGTGTGTCCTGGCGACTGACTGAATATCAGGCTCGGCAGGCAGCAGTGGCCTTCTTCCTCTGCTGAGACACCCGACAGGCCCCTCCTTCTTTACATGTTTTTCTTTATTGTATGCTCACACGTGCAGGTCAGAGGACAGTTGTGCAAGAGTTTTGTTCTGCGGACACAGGTCGGCAGGTGTCTCCACCTGCTGAACCAAGTTCTTGGCTTTTTTTTCCCCCCAACATCATATGTTGCTCTGGTTCGGCAGTTAAGAACATTTAATTTGGAGCAGGGCGTTGGTGGCACACGCCTTTAATCCCAGCACTCAGGAGGCAGAGGCAGGTGGATCTCTATAAGTTCGAGACCAGCCTGGTCTACAAGAGTGAGTTCCAGGACAGCTTCCAAAGCCACAGAGAAACCCTGTCTCAAAAAACCTAAAAAAGAAAACCACTTACTTTCTGCTTTTCCAAAGACCTGAGTTCAGTTCCCAGAAGCTGCATCAGGCAGCTCACAGTCAGCTGTCACTCTAGCTCTGCCCCCTTGGCCTCCACTGGTATCGCACCTTCCTACACAAATCCACACACAGATAGTAATAAAAACAATAAAAATAATTAACATCGAATATGTGTCCATAAGCCAGGTGTTTTTCACACAAGCTTTACAATGCAAATAGGATCCCTCCAACAGCAGAATAAACTCCTACCAGACGTTTGTGAGTTGGTTTCTCACAAGCAAGCAGCACGGGCGACCGGCCAGCGTGCACACTAAAATCTAGAAAGTGTTACTTTCCGGTTCCTGCCAGCTCTAGGAATCTACAGTTTGTTACCTCTGCTCGTGTCTTGGTAAAACCACCAGGTGACTTTAATGATCCGTTCCCACAGACCAGGGTTTAACCACACTGGAAAATTGGCTTGGTCTACTCGTTAAACAGGATACAGGAATACGCTACTGGCAAAGCCTTCCAGAAGTTTGCTCAGTGATAGCTAGATACACGCAGCGATCTGGAAGAACATCAAGTCATTTTAGAGTTGTTTAATCTACCATCCAGAAGACGGAAAAACCCGTATGTATGTGGGATTTAGGTCTTCACCTGTGGGCAACTTTGAAGCATTCTGTATGCCTTGCAAAAATCGCATACCAAGCAGGCTTCCATTTAAAGTGTAAAAGGTAAGCAAGGCATGGTGACTTTAATGCCAATACTCAGAAAGCAGAGAGAGGCAGATTTCTTGTCAGTTCAAAGTGAAACCTTGTCTCAAAAAAAAAAAAGTGTGACTTGAGGTGTTCAACTTTTGAAGTCAGCTAGAATCACCTTATTTTACTCACTTGTTTTTAAAAAAATATTTTACTTATACTGTGCAT